TCCAAGGGGAGGGGATGAGTTACTCTCAGCCTGTGGCCGCTGTGGAATATTTCAATCAGCGTCCGGAAGTTCGCCCTCTGCCCGTGTGTTACAACTGTGGCACGCCTGGCCACATAGCTAGGTATTGTAACCGACGTCGGACATTCAGCAATGGACAGTCGGGATCGTTTATGCAACACGGTGGTCGTGCAATGGACACTAATAGGCCAGGAAACACCACTTTTGAAGGCTACTTCCGAGAAGAAAGAAGCCGTCACTTCCCTCTGGACAGCTATTCTGGAGAACAAGAAAGGTATCGAAACCGTTACCGCTCTCCTGCCTCCGAACGTACTCTGACACCACCACCAGCTTTCCGAGCGTCTCGATCTCCATCTCCCAGACGGCGTGTGACGTCATCATCTCCTCGACGCCGCTTCGCGTCACCACCGCCGGGAAACTAGCCAGCGCGGCCGATGGAGGTGAGGTCGCTGGAAAATCTTTGCTGCCGACTCGGATACCTCCACCTATCTTCATGCTGAAGAATAAGGTTAATGTACTTATTGATGGCGTTTCTACCATGGCTTTAGTCGACACGGGAGCAACTGTTTCTGTCATGAGTGTGGTGTTCAAAAATCTGCTGGGACGCAAGGTTATGTTTCATTGGGACCACAGCACAAGCTTTCGTGGAGTGAGTGGGGACTCATTATACCCGGTTGGTGTGTGTAACGTGGATGTCTCCTTGGGTGGTCAAACCTTTAACACTGAGTTTACCGTGCTTCCGCGTTCCACACACGATGTAATTCTCGGCATTGACTTTTTGAAATTGTGTGGCGCCAATGTTGACTGCCGAACAGGAGAACTCAGTATTTGCGGAAGTGTGTCCTCTGCGCTCTTAGAAGAATCATCCCAGCAAGAGAGTGTGTTTTGTGTTTCTGAAGACACTGTTGTGCCCGCTTTATCCGCGATGCGCGTTCCTGTTGTTTGTTCGTCTTCTGTTAGTACTTCGTTCGATGTTGCGGTGGAACCGGTCCATAGAAACTGTCTCAAGAAAAATGTGTTGGTTCCGTATTGTATGGTTTCAGTTACCGATGGATGCGCAGGGCTATGGACGCTAAATTGCTCCACTGAAGCCGTAGTGCTGTCTCAAGGCCTAAAACTTGCTACGTTTCAGGGAGAGTCATTTATACCTATGGCAGTGCTTACAGAACTACCGGATACAGCACAAACCAGTGTCTCGCACACCGCAAACGAACACATGCTCGGAATGGTAGCTACATCGCTCAGTGACCATGAACGTCGTGTTTTGATGGCCCTGCTCTCGAAACACTCTTCAATATTCGACTTTGCACAGCACGACGGCCCCACATCGATTCCTGCATCCCGTACTCGCCATCGCATCAACACAGGATCCGCTGAACCGATTCGTCAAAAACCCTATCGTGTGTCCTCTGCGGAGCGAAAGATCATCAGCGCTCAAGTCGAAGAAATGATGGGTAAAGGAGTAATTCGGGAATCGTCTAGCCCTTGGGCAGCTCCAGTGATACTGGTGAAGAAGAAAGACGGCACGTGGCGATTCTGTGTCGATTACCGTCGCCTAAATGCCGTTACTAGGAAAGACGTATACCCACTCCCACGAATTGACGACGCCATCGATTGCCTCTTTGCGGCTTCTTACTTCTCTTCTGTGGATTTACGATCAGGTTACTGGCAAATCCCTATGCACCCGGATGACAGAGAGAAGACCGCTTTTGTAACGCCCGATGGACTATTTGAATTCAACGTGATGCCTTTCGGGCTTTGTAACGCCCCCGCAACGTTTGAAAGGTTCATGGACACTATACTTCGCGGTTTGAAGTGGGAAGTTTGTATGTGCTACCTAGACGACGTTGTGATCTTCGGCCGAACATTTCGTGAGCATAACGAGCGCCTGGACTTGGTACTGAACTGCTTGAGGAAGGCCGGCCTTGTGCTTAATTCTAAAAAGTGCCATTTTGGTGAACGACAGACACTTGTGCTGGGACACCTGATCGACAAAGAAGGTATACGACCAGATCCACAAAAGACAACAGCTGTGGAGGCATTCGAGGCACCTCGCTCTGTGAAGCAGCTACGAAGTTTTTTAGGGTTATGCTCCTACTTTCGCCGTTTCATTCCCAAATTTGCTGACATAGCTCATCCGCTCACATGCCTTCTCCAAAAAGGTGTTCCTTTCGAGTGGAGCTCGGAATGCGACTCATCGTTTCGGCAGCTAAAGCTACTGTTGACGTCCCAGCCTATTCTTCGCCACTTCAATCCGTCATCACCGACAGAAGTTCATACCGATGCTAGTGGTGTTGGCATTGGCGCCGTACTAGTTCAGCGTGTCGGCGACAGCGAGCATGTGATATCGTACGCTAGCCGCTCATTGAGTCGCCCCGAGCGCAACTACACTGTCACCGAACAAGAGTGTCTGGCGGTCGTCTTCGCTGTGCAACGGTTTCGATCGTATCTCTACGGGCGCCCCTTTACTGTCGTCACGGATCATCACTCTCTATGCTGGCTTGTGAATCTTCGGGATCCCTCTGGTCGACTAGCACGCTGGGCGCTCCGTCTGCAGGAGTATGATTTCGTTGTTTCCTACAAGAGCGGCCGGCGACACGCTGATGCTGATTGTCTCTCTCGCCTGCCACTCCCAACGACTGAATGTGACGCGGACAACTTTGATGAATACATCGCTTTTGTGTCCACGGGATTTCCGGATATGGATACCTTCATATCAGAGCAGAGGAAAGACGACAGCTTACAGCCGCTATTCGCGGCCGCGCGGGAGTCCGCTGCAGACAATCGTTTTCGCTTACGTGACGGCGCCCTATATAAGACGAACTTCTCGGCTACCGGTGCGCGCTACCTTTTGGTTGTCCCCAAGAGCCTTCGCAGTCACGTATTATCTGCCATGCACGACGAACCAACTTCCGGACATCTTGGATGCACAAGAACACTCTACCGTGCTCAGGAACGCTTTTATTGGCCCCGGATGCGCAATGATACCGAACGGTACGTCGCCAGCTGCACCCAATGTCAGCGTTACAAGCGACCAACTGACGCGCCGTCTGGTCGCCTTCAGCCTGTTTCGCCTCCTAGCACCCCCTTTGAGCAAGTTGGTATAGATCTTCTGGGCCCTTTTCCGCGATCCACAGACGGCAATCGTTGGGTCATCGTTTGCGTAGACCACTTAACCCGTTATTGTGAGACGGCAGCACTGCCGTCGGCCACAGCAAAAGACGTTTCCATCTTCTTGCTGTTTCAAGTTATCCTCAGACACGGACCTCCTCGCATCGTAATCAGCGACCGTGGGCGGCAATTTACCGCAGATGTTGTCGAAGAGACCCTTCGTCTGTGCTCATCAAGCTTCCGCCATTCCACTCCATACCATCCACAGACTAATGGTCTAGTGGAACGCACAAACCGAACGCTTGCCAACATGCTGTCCATGTACATCGATTCCGCGCACAAAAACTGGGACACAATCTTGCCTTTCATCACCTATGCTTTCAACACCGCAAGACATGAGACCACTGGTTACTCACCTTTCTTTCTCCTTTATGCTCGTCCACCACGCTATAATCTTGACACTATGCTTCCCTACTCTGCTCATCACAGTGAGCCGATCAACGAGATTCTCTGTAGAGCAGAAGAAGCGCGACGCCTCGCTCGGCTACGCACCGTCACCTCGCAAGACCGGTCAAAGATCCGCTATGACGACCGTCACCGACATGTTCACTTCAATCCTGGAGATCAGGTGTGGCTCTGGACGCCTTTACGGAAACGTGGCCTGTACCAGAAATTTCTCGCTCACTATGTCGGGCCCTACGTTATCCTCGAACGCCTCAGTGAGGTCAACTACCGCATAGCACGGCTCACAAGCACTGGACGGCGCTCGGCTAAAACAGAAGTGGCGCACGTCGCTCGCATGAAGCTATGCAATGCACGAACCACTGAGTGACTCGCCCGGCGGGCTTCGTCTGCCAACGGGGAAATGTCACGAGCGGTTGCAATGCACGGCGCATACAGCGCGAATGAACATTCAGAAAAAAAGGTGAAGAAGGAAGACGACGTTGGGTGTGCTGTCTCGAGACCCCTTGTGGAAGTAAACGCGAACCATCCAGGCTCGCCTGTTTTTCAACCTTTTCGTGTACTTCTTGCGTGTAACAATATTTTACAGGCTATCACTTGCATTTTATGGAAAGTGAAATTTTATTACCATTCAAAGTTGTTTTGGCTTTCTTTGATGCAAAAAAAGAAAATGGAATGTGCACAGGTATTGTTTGAATTTTCAAAAATATTGTGCAGGTTAGTTTGGTCATGACAAATATGTGCCCGTTTCTTTATATAGATATGTGATAAATACACTTTTCAAATTCGATTCGAAGTTATTCAGCCAAAACCACTATTCGCTTTGAACCTAAAATTTCACTATTTGCCCAAGCCTAGTTTTAGAGTGTACAAATGTCTACCAAAATATGTTAGGCCTATGCTGTGTGCTGGTGATGAATGCCATTGACTTTTCCACAGTTCTCTTGAAAGACAATAACATCTGCCCAATTCTTTTGCTTACTGCAATCAATGAATATGGAGGTGCAATTTACCTTTTGCTCTTGAGTAAGCATGCTGGCGCGATTTCTTTGAAGTTGTGCTGCTCAATGATTATCAGTGTTGTATCGACATCATTGAATAGGGCTCTAACTGATCTTGCATTGGCGATATTTAATTTTGTATGAAAAGGGTAAAAAAAAAAACGAGGCCTTTAACGCTTCACAATGGCTGTGAATTAGGCTTGTTGGTTGTTCATGATTGTAGAATAACAGTGAAAAAAAAAAAAACGACGGGCAAACACAGCCAGTGCTCGTTTATCTCTGCGTGTTCTTCGTTTTCCTGCACTGCTACTTTACAACCTCTAACGATGCTACAGATAAGTTTTTATGGATTCTCAATGCCATCACCTGTATTTCACTGAGCTTTGTTTCTTTTCATTTGTCATACAGCTTAACTGGTGGGCTGTCCTGCTGATGCTGGTGGCACTTATAGTGGTGATGGCAGTGTTCATTCGCTGCTGTGCCGTGCATACGCCCAGCAGCAACCCACGAAAGGCTCCTGCATTGCGCATCAGTGACACGTTGCGCAGGCCTGGTGACACCTTCCGCAGAAAGGTCTGTCCACTGTTTCCCAGATGTCAGCTTAGTGAGTGATGAAATATCAATTCGTAGGGCATGCATGTGTGGTGGGTTTACCTTTAAGAAGTGGAGGTTGAGCAAGCTTTCTGATGGAATAATTGGTAACCGATAGAAGTGGAGGCTGAGCAAACTTTCTGATGGAATAATTGGTAACCAATTGTTTACAGGAATAACAGGATGGCTGCAAGCAGTCAGGAAAATTCAGACATGTGAATGGGAGTAGGGCCACGGGACTGAGTAACCGGAGATAAACCAATGAATATACTGCTATGAGGCTTTCTGCTTAATGAATCTGAAAGGGGTCCTCCAACGCTGTTCAACCCCCCATTTATTACTCGCATAGACTGAAGCATGGACAGATTAGTGCAGCAAAAATGGCAGTAATAGCGGCACGCAGTCTGAATTTTTTTCTTTTCAGGGCATTCAACACACACAAATGCTGAAAAACAAAAGAAAGAAACAATGCCTTCCCTCAATTTGATTTTCGTGCCACATTTCACTCGCCCCTGACTCGACCCGGTGATGTTGAAGAGCTCCCGCAATGAAATAAACTGGAAGCTCCCATGTAGGGAAAGCTCCACACCATTGTTGCTTGTCTTCTCCAACGTATTGTTGGTGTTCCCATGGTAACAAACGTGGCACCTGAAACCTGGCAGCCACATTTCATTTCGCTTCCTCCTTTCATTCTCAAAAGGGTATTTCCGGGGTGGTGTACTGTTGCCCTTCGTGAGTTGTTCGGTGGGCTAGCCGATGAACTACAAGGGTGTAGGGGCATCACTTGAACTTGCGCCACCTCAGCAACAATCATTAACCTACCTCGCATGCAGAAAAAGGCAGCTCGCAAACACATAGAGGCAAGAAAAGGGAACAGAGAGAAGTCTTTTGTATGGATATACGACCTACGCAAGCAAATAATCAGGAGGTGAAATGGTAGCAGGCGCCTCTGGCGTGCTTTGTAGTCGTAAGGATTTTTTTTTGTTGTTGTTGCAACGGTGTCTGTTCGGGGTTTAGTGAAAAAGCTCAGCAAAGAAAAAGAAAACACAATACCGTATTTACTCGATTCTACCGCACCCTCGATTGTAACGTGCACACGGATTCCACGACAAAAAAAAAAAAAAAAAAAAAGGTAAGACATCGATTGTAACGCGCACCCATTTTTCTCATTGGCCCGCATGACCACACCACTCAGGAAAACGACTTCTTTCGGGAGCGTCTTCCATTTAAATATGAGGTACGGGGAAGCTTGTGCCCCTCTGACGTGTAACCGAGCATTGCCGTCACTCTAGTTTTACCGTGGCCTGATGTCAGCACGCGAACTTGCTTCGCCCCCTTCTTCTCGACGTTTGTGGTGCCAGGCATGTCGAAGAAACGTCTGATCGGCATTCCCGATTTGCCCAAGCAGGTAGCCGTTGTTGTGCCGCAAGTTTAGCACGAACCTCTGAAAACTGTGAAGCTTTTCATTGTACTCCTCCGGAAACTTTTCGCATATGCCCGTTCGCCTTCAAAGGGAAAAGCCTTTCCTCTTCATAAAGTTAGTTAGCCAGCACCTGCTCGCTTTAAACTGGCTCGGCATTAGCCCTTTTTCTAAGGCTAACTGCATAGCCCGCACTTGGAGCAGTGCTGTCGTCACGGGTCGCTGTGCCACTCACTGCTCAAGCAACATACTCGGCGAGCAGCTCCTCAATTTGCGGAAACCGACCCTGCTGTGGTCCACTGAAGCCTTTGTGTGAAGCTTTGCTGTCGACAACCTTCTGCTTTTGTTTCCGCCAGTCCCACACGCACGTTTTGGGAACTCCAAACGACCGCGACGCAGCCCGATTTCCGTCCGTTTCTGCACACGCGATGACTTTTCTTGTAAAAGCGGCATCGTGGTGCACTCGTCGAGTTTTTGTAGTCGGCCTATCCATGCCGTCGATGCTAATGCACTACAAGATGATAAACTCCTCAGCACACGTACGAAGTGCCGCACATGGGAAACACATAGGCAGAAATGGCCGACGCGTGATGCCGACGCACGTAGGGGGCGGCCATTTTAAAAATGCCGATGGCAATAGAATGACCGTATTCATTTTTTTCGTACTCGATTCTAACGCGTATGCGATTTATGAACTCGCTTAATCGGAAAAAAGGTGTGCATTAGATTTGAGTAATTATGGTAGTAATATGTGCTGACACCTTGCCACGATTGCTTGTAATGCGACATTTATCCAATCAAGGGCTTGCACTATCCGTCGCTATTTCCACCTGCAACAGTTTTGGGGAGTGCCACTATGTGCTGATGCAGTTTGCAGTGATCTAGTGACATCATTGCGGGATTAAAATATAAAATAATTTCATATTGGTGCTTAGACCTCTGCTAAAATCATCCTATCCATCGGTCTTATGCAAACCACAAATAAAATATTGGTGCTTCAAAAGTGTTGGAGGGCCCCTTTAATTGCTTTTCTTAGTCAAATGAACCAGCACAATGAATGTGCATATCATATATATTCTTTCACATGGCTAACTGCACTTGGTAAACTGTGTGGCCCTTTTGCTTTAAGCACAACTGGTATGTGAGAACAGCTGTAGATTGCATTGCCTAATTCTGCTGCAATGCAACTCTCGCAGCGACGAGTGCCCGACCCTTCCGCTCTGCCTGGTGGTCCACCACCCCCGTACCCTGGTGGTCCACGACCGAGCGCGCCTCCGGCAGGCCCGTCCCACGGCTACGGCCATGGCAGAGGCCACTACAACAGCCGTGTCCCCGCTACGCACGGTGTAGCATCATCTTCCGGTTCCTCTCGACACCATCAGGGGTCACGGGGAGCCGTTCCACCTGAGGCGGTTGAGCTGCGACCAGCCGGCAAGCGACACCTTTGACACCACCGGCGGAGACACCGCTGACCGCATAGGAGATGGAAGGGCCTGCCTGCCTGCTGATGCCTTCCTACCTGCCAAAAGACAGTGTGCCAGCGTGGCTGGCTGTGCCTCGCCCCATCGCCAACACCACTGCAAGTGCTGCTGTTGCTTCCACATTGTGGAGTGAAAAAACCAAGCTCTAGACTGCAGGGCCTTTGGTTTGCCCACTGTGGGTGCTTTCAGCGCAATGCTGCTTGTTTTACTGTGTCACTGAGGGGATAGTTGCCGTTTAGAAGCACATATTTGGTGTTGTGGTCAAGTAATAGCAGTGCCAGCAACGACATTGTGGTCCTTCTGAACACTGCAGAGGGAAAACATAGCTCGAAATTGTGCATTGCTGGATATTGTTATTGGGAAAGACAGTTCAAGATTGGCATAGCACGATTCTCTGTGAAGTTGGTGGATGTCGGAAAGGGTGGGCTCAAAACCATTGATCTATTTGCTCTCGGTGTGGCAGACCTAGCACTGCTTGTTTTTTGTCTCGAATTTGGCTGTGGACGAGTGTAAGTGGACATCAGGTTCCGGGATCAAAGTGCCATTGAATTATTCGATCCCAAAGGAAGGGTAATCGGTTGTAGAGTATGTTTCCCAACTTCTGGTGGTAGTGCCAGCACAATATCCTATGCCAAAGCTGTTGTCCAAGGCAAGTAGCGGTAGCCTGGATATTTAGCAGGGAAATGTTGCCTTGTACAACTGAGTGAACATATTTCGAAGCATTTTCGGGATAAATTATTTAATTTTAATCTCTCATTGCACCGCACGTTAACAGTTGCAGCATCTGCAATTAGAAGCATGAAGAGCTAAAAGCGAGCTTCGCACATTCGCTTAAGCAACTGCACCTTTAGACAGTATGTAACAGTGTTCACTAGTTGTGTTTAGCCACATGCTTTCTTCTATTTTGCTAAGACATCGACTGGAAAAGGTAGATTGTTTTCATAGGGCATCAAATTCCAACTTCCTCAATTGTTTAAGGTCACTAGCCATTCATTGCGTCATTGAGATGTGTTTACTGCCAGCGCTTTCATTTTTACAGCTTCTTTTAACAGCCAGTCAACGAACAAATGCCAGTTATCACTGCCTACTACGTTGGACTGCAATGCACATAGTGATTTTAACCCATACAAAGGTAGAAGAGCATTTTATGTGGTCTATAGAAATGCCTTTTATTTCTCGATGACTTACAAATGAGTCTGGATGCCTTTTCTACATTATTTTCTTTGCCAAACGTAATTATCAGCTGGACTTTTTTTTGTTTCACAAATATACATTGCTGTGAGCTACGAGAAATGACACCAACAGTGTACCACCAGTTTCAATAATGCATATTTGTTTTCTTTAACATTTTAGCATAAATGGAGTTTATCGGAGTAGAACGCTTGTCGAAATGCCCAGCAACACTGACTTCTCGCCTACTTGCATAACTGTTTACTTAGGCGTGCTTTTTAGTCTAAATGAAAAATTGCTAAAAGGAGTACAAGTGGAAAAAAAAAAAAAAAAAACATGACCCTTGGCTAGTGATGCTATTCTGGTTGCTAGTGAAATGCCTATTAATCAGTGGCTAGTCTAAATTTGGCACATTTCTTTTCATTTTGTCTATGCGGTTTTCAGTTACAGAAATAGGCAGTCGGTTGAATACTCAGCAGCAAATTATGTGGATAATGACTGAGTTTGTCTCATTTGAAGTATTTGCTTGAAAGAAGACAAAAACTGCAGGGACCGTTTTTTCTAAGACATAATTTATGATGATGCGTTTCATTAATACTGATCACCTTTCTTTCTTAATGTTAAAGAGATAGTGGTTTTGAACTTGGTACAAAGTTAGTGTAAGCTTCGGTTCTGTATTGTCCAATGATAGCTTCTTTAGCAATTTTTCTTGTTTACTAAGTTTGAGTTATCTTGACATTCCATCATTAATTCTTCGTGCAACCAGGTGCCCTCGTAAGTTGTATGCTAATGTTTCAGCGTGCTTGCTTGTTGGTTGTTAAAGGTTTAAAAGAAAACTTTGAGGAAATTGTTTTTTTTTTGTGGTTAATGAGGCACTAATGCATAGGTTTTTAAGTTATTAGTGCTAATACCAAACTTTTGAATCCAATAAATAAGTAAAATATAGATTTAAAATCTACAAAAAAAGTTTTTCGTTCAGCTGAGTCTCGACACCCGAGTTTCATCTAATGCACACTGTGTACATCTGCATGGATCTGTGTGTTGAAATATGTCAATTTAAATTATATTAATCTTACATAAGTGCATGCGAAATTTTTTTGTGAATACAATATTATAGATTATTGCTATTGATTGAATGAGGCAGGTAAAGATTTATCAAGGGAAAACTTCAGCCTGAGTTGCGATATGCGCTACTTTCTATGTTATCAAGTGTAAATGTAGAAGATAGCAGCAATTATTAAGTATGCCAAGGGGATGTGTTGGTGACGCTGCATTGCATCGAAAGTATTATGGGTACTTGGAAAAGAGCATTCCTTCCTGGTATTTTCCTGAAGTTTTCTGAAGAATTCCAAGGCACAGGGGGGCAGGGGGCTGGACGTTAAGTAAATGGGCCTTTTTGGAATGTATACAACACATGCAGTTATGGAGTGTATAACCAATTTTAGTGATGTATTTACTTAATAGTCCCAACGTTTGTTTTTATTTCTTCTTATTAAGGCTTGGGTGTTAGTTTCCCGCTCTCATGTTTCCCACATTCAAAGATGCGTATGCCTCGGCAACGAGTGCCAGCAAGTGCTTATTTCCTGACAATACAACCTCATAAACCTTACAAAATGGCTCGACCCAGTGCCAACTCAAAATAGTCGTATGTCAAATTACTTCTCAGGATATAAAGAAAGAACTATATCTAGATGCCTTGATAGTTTAACATTGTGCAATGCTGCTGCTTGCCTAAGTGCAATAGACTTGCCCAGAACGCTCTGATTTCTAGGCATCCTGTCCTTCTCAAAGGTTGCAGCGATAAATGAAATAGATGCTTTTTTTTCATAGAGTAATATTTGTTTCTTGCTGCTAGTTGTTTTGAGAGAGAATAATTTTCTGTTAGCAGCGTAGAATTCAGTCAGCATCATTTTTCTGGTGGTTCAAGTGAAACATTAAAGACCGGAAACACTAAACTGCATTATGATGAAACAGCATGAATGGGACAGTCGACACAACCAGCAGGACAGTGCACCGACTGACTGATATCAGCATATACTGTGCTATATAGAAAGAAAAAAAAGAATAGTTGAATTAGCCGAGGCCAGCCAAATTATCAGCAGCCTACTGCACCCCTTTGGTCTTATCAGCCCATGGGAAAAATTCTTGAAGGACTTCACTGGGGGGGTGCTTTGAATGTCTTTCCTAAAGGCCTTCAAGATGAGGTTATATTCGATTTTCTGTATATGTTACATGGCCTTCTACCTCTAGTTGCTGTATTGTTTCTACTATTTTTCAAAAAAATATTTAGTGGTTAGGTGTTTCATTTATGTGGTTAATATAACATTGCACAAGTTACGACATGCTGACTGGGGGAGACGGGCAAACCCGTTTTATTGGTGGGATATAGCATCACTGAATGTCAAAACAAGTGAATACTTACCTTCTGGTATTTGCTGTTTTACCTTAGCGAAATTGCTGGAAAAATGGGCCGAGAGTAGCACGCGCAAGATATGGGAGCTCGGGATCAACTTTTGTATGCATCTCAGCTGAGAAACCAACTGGCTCATGTTCTTTCTAGATTTACTCTTGTAGTATTATGTCACATGTTTTATGGCCATAGAACAAGAAAGTGTAAGGGCCTTGTTGCTATTAGTAATCGGTGAAACATCTGGTTTGTTTTTTCAGTACGCAAACTTCGGCTTTGTATATTATACGTTGTAGCTGAGCTTGTGGTCGGCACATAGTACTCTGCTTTTTTAGCTTGACTGTCATCATTTACACCCACGCCTCATTATAACAAACTTTCATCATACATGATAATAAGTTTGTTATATCCGAAAATTCGTTATAAAGGTTTGTTCCTAAGACTAAATCTAATGCGAGACTATTTTTCATTTACTTCGTTATAACCAATATTTCGTTATATACGGATTCGTTATATCGAGGTTTGAGTGTACATGCAACTGGCAAGGTGTGTAGACTGGTCATAAAAGTCCCCCCTGTTTCAGAGAGCTAGGCCTGACATATGCCAGCACAGTTTTGCCTAAAGGCTCTGTGGAATTCACACTAGTAGTAGCAGTCATTTCCTTTTGATTGTGTAGGTGTTTCAATCGGCATTACCTCTGCGCTTGTCAAAGTGTTATTTTGGTTTTGTTATGGTGCGGGCTTCCCGTTATCATTGCTTGTGAAATGCTGGGGGAAAAAAAAGGTGCAGTTTACGAACACTCATATTGAAGATGGTTGCTAAGACTACGTCCACTGCCCAAACATGAGCTCCGGTAGAGTTGTTCGCAGTGAGTGTAAAGATTACGTGCTTCAGGCTCAAGCTACCCTTTACGACTAGTAAAGCTTTCCCTACAGTACTAGTAGTTGACGGTTTTGAATTGCTAATATTTATGATTCAGTAATTTATGCCCTACATCTGCAACCTAGCTCATGTTGAATGCTTGGAAAAATAGCTTTACAAGTATTTCCAACTTGCAGTTTACATAATTTATTGTTTTATATACAAGATTTTATGTGCTTATAGTGCTGCTTTGTTTTTGTCTCTATGCTTGGTGGGAATGAATAATTTTGGCAGATTTGGGAAGTAGTAAAGAAAAAAAATGTGAATGTTTGCTTGTGTAACGCTTTTTTACTGTCATTTATTGTTGCTCGAGTTATGTGATAAATTCAATTTTTAACCTTTTCATGGCTCATCACATGTCAAAACTAAAGAAAGCCACGGTGTGCTTCTGCTGCTTGCGAACATCTGTGGCACCCTTGGTCTTATTTTTGAGACACGGTTGTGTTCTTGTTTTATTGTAATGTACTGTGCTGTGGTCGCTTTCAAATTTATTCAAGCAGCAATGAAAATCAAATGACATGGTAACATTTTTCGGCATTTTGATCGTACACAACGTAAATGTTGATGTCTGTTGTTTTATTTTTTTTTGTCACTGCCTTGCTGAATAGTTAGCGCTTTCCAAGCTTGGGTGACATTAATGAGAAGTTAAACTTGGTTGATGAATTATGTTTATAATACCAAAAACATGTCTTGTTGAGAGTAGAGGCTTTAGAAGTCAGACTAATGAATGATGGGTTGCAACAGTGCCTGAAAGTTTCTGCTCCAACTAACGATAATGTCAGTAAGTTTGAGTGCCTGCTTAGAACTAGCTAGTTATTTTTGTAAAGGTTAACTCAATCACATTGTAAAATTACCCAAGGTCTCAATGTAGCCACTGTTGGAAGGTATCCTAGAGACTGGTGTGTTAAAAAAAATACCAAAATACATATAAGCATAAGAGCATAAGGCTTGAAATACAAGGCAGGAAAGTTTAATCTTAATTTCCCTGTGGGTATCATATTTTTGTTCAAAAAAAATTAGTTGAAGTAATGTCTTGATTCAGCATCTTACCACCCTAATAGTTAAAATTAGTTTGTGCAAATTTTCGGTGTTCCTTTGAATGATTCTCGAAAACTGGCTGGTCTCTAAGCACACTTTTTATGGTGGCTTTGGTGAGACAGTCATTGAGCACATTTTGCAATGGGCACAGCTGCAGGCAAAACTGAGTAACCACACAGCAACAGCAGCAGCAGTGAAGTAAAAAAATAGGTATACTAAGCAGAGCTCAGACAAGCTAGTCAGCATACATTAAGGGAGTCTTGTGTGAGGCTCTTCAGTCTGTAATCTCTGCCACTTTAGAGCACCTCTCTGTGGGACGCTTTCAAAAGCAGCACAGAGGAGGTCCTAGCAGTGTGATATGGACCATGTATGTTAGCCATCCACGGGAGAGTGGTGTGCATTTTCTCTCGTGGAAACGCGCACATACAATGAAACACACCTCACACATGTGAAGCCGCAAGTGTCCTTTTAGATGTTTTAATGTAATTCTCCCTTTCTTCCTTTTAACGTACAGTGTTTTGGGATTGAATGCATACGTATGGTGAAAGTGTTGTCAGCCTCCAGGAGAGCTTGGTGCCGTTAGAGAATTGATGCTTGTTCGTGCAGCGTGTCAAATAGCATGTGCTGCCAACGATTGTAACAGTAAGTCTATGTTTTCGTGACATTTGCCATGTTCTGGGAAGCTTCTGTCACAGCTTATCTGAAATATACATTTCTAGTTATGCTTCATTGATAGTTTTGACATACTTTTGTATGCCCTAGCCAGTCTCTTTAATTTTTCTTGAGTTTTCAAACTTCGGATATACTGTATTTACCCATTTCCAACGTGCCCTCGATTGCATGGTGCACCTGGTTCACATGACCCAAAAACAAAAGTACAGCTAAGGGGCAGTTTAAATATCTGTACCAGAATCTAACATGCATGTGAGCTCGAGGTTTATTTTTCCAGAAAAAGGTTGGAATTGGGTAAATGCGATATATAACAAACACTACTGAAATCTTGTGTGTGTTCGCAGTGTAGAAAATTTGCCGCGAAAGCATTTCAAAGCCTTGTGTTGTACAGAATATTTGTGCACTTACAAACCACGAACAAAAACACCTTCGTACGATGTCTTCAGTCCAGTGATGACTCATAACTGATAGAATGTTGTGTAGTTCACGTCATGGTCTCAGTTCCCTGAAACTTGTACAGATAAATATGCCTGTCAGGGCTCATATTTCTAATCTGCTGCAATAGGACTGGAATGTGACTTCATCTGACCTTGCAGTGTCTGTATCTAGTGTTCTGGGCTTCTGACACAAGCCCACTGAAGTGTGCAATTTACATGGATGTAGTATTTACTGAATGTCTGGGCAGCTCGGGTATGATGAAGTCACAATTCATCTTGCCATATTTGGAGCAGAGCACACGCAGCAGTGAGATTAGAGATGCGGCTGGAAGTATCTTTGAGTACAGGAGCATAAAGCCGATTCAATTGGTGCCTGTTTTAACTAATCATACTTTCCACATGTGCAGAGCACGAGCTTCTGTCATATTCTATTGCATGCACAGAATTATAACTAATCGCAACTCTGCAGTAATGTTATATTGTCCTTAAAAGCTGCATTGTTTCTAAAATGGCACTACAATGACCATTCTGCCAACCACGAAAAGGCATTGAAAGGGAATAGCCTCAAAGACATTGCTTTGTAGTTTGGAGGTGCTGTTGGTCTGTAAAGTATCTGGTCACATCTCTGCATCTCGCCCTTGTTATGCACAGCCAGAATCTGACTGCTGCTTTGACTCCACTGAGCAGAGGGCAGCACTGCTTGGCTGAAGTACCAACTTTTTTTATATAGTGCTTCTTGGCAAATACATAGTAAACACTGTTTTGATGGGGCACTGCCGCTATTTGTTTACACACTTAGATGTAAGGGTGTGCCTCAAGCAACTGTTTGTTGCAGAAAGTGCCAAGAAACATTGTTCCAACACAGAAAGGGACATCATTCACAGAGCCTAGGCTGCCTTCTACTCAGCAGAGACCACACAGGAATCGGAGTAAGGCTGTGCTGATCATGGGACCTTGATAGTACAGAGCGAAGCACAATTGCTCAGATTGCTTTATATTTCTCTCTACTGTTTTTTAGGGGAAGTCACTGAGCAACATTTGTGCGAGGAGTGTGTGAGAGGCTCATAATAATTGTTTCTTCTTTGGCTGAGTAACATAGTTGTGGGAACACAACCATCTCGAAGGGATATGCTTCCTGCCTGCTATTGATGAGCAGCGAAGTGTTTTCAAGTGATTACGAATCATCTGTGCACATGTGTGTTGATAGTATCTACATTGCATTTCTTTCTTGCATTGTACAAAGGCTGTTCTTTTTGAGTGTGAGAACTCTGTAAATATTGCACGCATGTGTATGTGCATATGCCTGCTGAGGAATGACATGTTTCGGAGTGGTGGTTAATTTTTTTTTCTTGTGTATCATGTACGTAGATGTTATGCTTAAATTGTGTGTGAGTGGTTCTATATACATATTATACATAAAGATATATAAATATGTGAACATAAAATATACATAGCTTTTTCTGTGTTGCAACACAGAGAATAAGTGTGTTTGTTTGCTGATGTACTTGTTCGAACCTTCCACCTTTGTTTCTGTGTCCTATGTTCACTGTTATTTGCAGATTGTGAGAAAGGAAGTTTTTGAGGATGATAATGGGGAGATGTTTCTAATAAATCACTTCAGCAAAACATTTACTTCTTTTATTTCAATGATGTTGCAGGCTGTGTACCAACAAAGACAGGGCATGCTTACAGTAGCGTCTTTTTAGTAAGGCACGAGGTAGCTCTAAATGCCTCTGCTGTTCCACTTAGCTTAACTGTTTGCTGTATTTTGAGCAGCGGTTTGCAAATGGTATGTACACAGCTGCACTTGAGCTTTATGCAAATGCGTATCCAGAATTATTTTTTAGGGGGGGGGGGCACCTTGTTCAAATGGTCATTTTTTCATTTCTATGCCATGCCGAAAAAAAAATGCAGGAAGGGGTAATGCGCCTCGTGTGCCACCCCCTGGCTACGCCCCTGCCTGTATGGATACAAGGGCTTATACCTATATGGTACTGTATAGTGTGCAAGTATGAAGGCATGACACAGCAGTATCATGTCGTGGAAAGTGCTGTCATCTTATTTGTACCATTGGATCACAATACTTTTATTTATGACGTTGCATATGTTTCTTTGGCACCATGCAGAAAAAGCCCTATTTTGTACCTTTTTTTTGTTGTACAGCTTTTAAACTGGGTGACAGCCACCACGACACTTTTGCAGACAGTGCGACTGGCGGAAGAGCGCTATGTGCCCGTTTATAGTTTCGAAAAGGATTGCATAATCACCACACATCGCATGCAGAGCACAAGCAGTCTACATGTATTTCCGATGTTTGCTGTTTTTTCTGGCCAGATTCTGCTTGTACTATATGTAAATACAGATCATACAGACCGGATTTGGTGTTTGTATAGGTACAGTCAACTACCGATTTTTAGATGCAAAGCAGCTCTTTGACTGCTCCGTGTAACGCTGTCTGTCCGTGTCTCCGTGCCAACGCGCCGCACCACGTTTCTCCGCCGCAGTTGTTGGAACGATGCTAAATAGGGCAAGTTGTAGCTGCGCATTGACGTCACTCTCTCCCTCACTTGGAGCAGCTGCAGGCTCCTTCCAACACACATAGGTGGTGTTCCTCCTCCGCCCGTTTGCAACACACTTCTGTCTCGCTTCACCCTTTCCACCACCCGCCATGCTCCACCGCACGTCGAGTAAAAACACTTTTTCGGCTCGTTTATCTGCGATAAAACTTGAACGAAACCCAATCCTCCTCTTGTGTCTTTCCGTTTTAAAGAAACATTTACTCGAGTAAAGGCTTAACCGAGTTCCGCTTCAAACCGTTCTTCCAGCACCCGCGTCAACGCCCATTTCAGCCGGGTAAACTGCGTGCACAACGCTGCTGTTTCGCATCCCATCATGGTTCCCTTTGGGGAGATGGTTCATAATTTTTTTCGACATGCTTGAAAATTTGGGCACCTTCATGGCATAGTCACACGATCCACACACCTTTCTTCCACCATAGCCTTTGTGTTGCGCGTCATCGTTTTCAAACGCATGGTTGATAGCCGTAATTTTTCCTGCTTTTTGATGGTAACGGCAGCGCTCATCACGAAACGCAAAGTTAAGCGGAATTCGCGGCAGGTACCGAATGTATATTCATGGGAACTTGGGCACTCATCAAATGCTTGGTAAGCATATACTGGCATACATTAAATTTGTTTCGTACGTAGCTGTGGCGATTTAACCGCCTGAGCAGTATAAACATGCGTGAACTCGTTTGTTCGTATGATTTCACGGTTTCTAAAGGTTGTCTGCGAAATGGGATATTGACTGTATATACAAACACGCATGAACATACGTATTGAAGACTGCTGCACGCCCCATCATTGAAAAATTTCTGCCCACGGCCTTACCTGGGTGCCATGCAATGCGGGAACGAAGAGCGTCCTCCCCTATGGCATCTCGTTCCACGACTAGCACATGCCGGCCCCGCGCGGCTAAAAACGTCGCCTTTTTTACATGTGCAGCATCTCTTGCAGGGGTCTATGTCCCGCAGCGTCGGCGTCTGCACTTACACTACGCATGCGCAACTCTCCTTCCCTCTCTCCAACTGCTGCACGTTACTCTCTCCACTTCTACCACTTGTTTGTGCTTCTGCGTTCTCGCTTTTACTATCCCAGCGCATTCGCTACTTTCCTCCTCTAGTCTCCTATCCCTCAAGTGTGAATATAAAGCGGGTGCGCATTGATTTTATCCGAAGCGCACCAGCTTTCCAATGCACTATTGCGCAGTAGACACAAGCGCTCTATAGTTTTCCTCCGACCCGCAAGCAGTGCACGCAAGGGACGGGGCTCTGCTAAGCTGATGACAATGGCCGCAGGCCAGGATGCGTAATGCATCTTACGTAATGCAGGTGCATAATGCAGATGGTGCGTAAATGCAGTAGAAGAGACTCCTCCCTTCTGGAGGTGCACCTGTCACGCAGCCCGGTCCGCCGCAATGTGAACGTCGAATAGTTTGAGGCGACGGTGGAGTGATGCGCTTCTTTCGCCAGTGTGTCTGGTGGCTCATTCCCCTGGATTCTCGCATGAGAACACCACATGGGCTCGCTGATATGTCTGGGACTTGCAGTGGCAGATGCTCGAACGCCTGTAACTAGTGAGTCACGCACTTTCGCAGGGGACTTCTCTATCGCGTTTGGTGGTTCCCTTGTGTGGTAGCCGATGGCACCGCAAGCAAACGTATCGCCCTCGCTGAGTTCGCTGAGTTTCCCTGTACGGCTGGCCCGCAATTCCGTGACTGCCTCACTGAGCTGCATTCTCCGCAGCATACATACAAGAGTTACGCTGCATCACACAATTTCTAAAGGATATATTTGTTTCCTGGGATTTATGCACTTATAATGCACATTGACTTGGAAACAGAAATCTGTACACCGTGTGGATATGTCAAACACTTTTTTCACGGTTGATATTTCTCTATGATCGCTTCAGAGAATGTCTACGTTTCAACCACATTTGAAAGCGACACATATATATCTGACTCTCCTGCTGTTCGCGAGGAGGCGTTAAACAAGCTCTGGCGCAACAACGGATGGATAATTGCTATTAGCATTTCATATATACAACGCGATGGTTATCTGTGCACCACCAAGGTAAAGAAAAAAAAACACTTTTACAAGTTGGTCCAATGTCTCATGTGCTTCTAATAAGTCGATCTTTCGATAAAACCATGAATTTATTGCCCCACACCCGGCCCTTCACAGCAGTATCGCCTTACTTTTGCCACTACGTATATTTTATTGTCCGTTTTATTTATATCGCTTGCGTGTTTACTTTTCCCATGTTCTCCCTGAAACCCAAGACTCTCAGCTTGCAATGGCGAAGCGCGCGTCATGGCGACGAAAGACTTTTGTAACCGCAAATATTCCTGGAGTGTTAAATATATTTTATAACTTTTGTGATGCGCAAAAAAGTATCCAACTGGTTTGGTTCTTGCGTTCCGCGTAAGAACGACACGCTTCCTTCGCACCGGTTCATGACAGTGATAAGCAGTCACAGCGGTTGTCGTTTTTGTGGCCGATAGCGAAACGTGTTCATCGTGAAGCCACCACCATCGTTGCGGCCCTGCCGTGACAGCACAATCGGGCAAATGCTATCTATGGTCGTTAGTACGCGGAACGTTGGAGAGCACTAGAATCATTGTGCTCACTGGCGCACGAGCGGGTTTGTCACGTGGTATTTTTTGTATTTAGCGGGTATTTGTAATTGGCAGAAACAAATACTAAACCTAAGAGATATAATGTTCAAGGCTGTCTAATCGGACGTTTTGCAAACCGATCTACAACTTTCTCATTGAAATTTTTCATCTATCCTCGTTCTTTCAAAAGTTAGTTAATTAAAGATCTAAGTAAACAATGTTACAGAACACAAAAAGATAGTCTAACTCCAGGTAACGGTGAGCAACGTTTGGTCGCGTCGTAATCGCGTGTGCTGGCTAAAGTTACCTGGGACACCCTGCACACACACACACACACACACACACACACACACACACACACACACACACACACACACACACACACACACACACACACACACACACACACACACACACACACACACACACACACACACACACACACACACACACACACACACACACACACACACACACACACACACACACACACACACACACACACACACACACACACACACACACACACACACACACACACACACACACACACACACACACACACACACACACACACACACACACACACACACACACACACACACAATATACATACATATATACATATATACATATATACATATATATATAATTGCTGGTATAGAAGGCGGTAATTGATGTGTTCACGTAAAGCATGTGAAATTCATCGACAGTGACACGCTAATAGTGTCGCGCATGTAAGCTACAGAGAACTGCCGCGGTGCAGTACGGGTTTTTTTCAATCGGTGGCGTTACTGTAGCTCTCGTTGACGAATCTGAATGGATGTCCACATACGTTGTGGAAAAAAAAAAAAAAAAAGCCGGCCAATCGCTTGTTTCTCTTGATAAAAAATGCAGCAAATACTGAACATGCAAAATAAACAGAACAAACAGAAACAAACAGAAAAAGAAATACGCGCGTTATTTCTTCCGCAGTCAAAGCAATGACAATGAATTGTGATTTGCAGGGACACTGAGGCGGTAAAATGAGCACTGACGCTACGATTTCAGCGACACTTGAATGAGCGAGCTGGTTCGAGTGCGATACAAGTGCGATATACCTTCGCGAACAATAATAAATGCCGATCAAACCTCCACAGGGTAAGCTGACACACTTGGTTCTTGAATCTTCTTGGGACAAGGTTTCTTGCTGTTCGCCTTCTTGCGACACGTGTGCTTCTTCTTGACGCACTTCTTCCGCGTCTTCGTGCAAGGTGGCTTTCGGGTGCTGCTGCACGGGCACCACATTGCCGGTTCCTGTACGGCCCGCAGGTCTCGTGCAAACCGTTTCCGAGGGCCCGAAGTGATTCGCGCTCCGTTTCTTGCCTTGAGACGCCGCGCCTTGTGCTCGAAAGCAAAAGGTCCCGCTGTAGCTGCGCGCGGCTCGTACCTTGTGGCCTCTGGGCGCGCCATC